TCGACTTTGCTCTCGTCAACCCTGTCACCTATCTCGCTTCGGCATGCTCCATCGTAAAGGATGCTCGGCTCGTGGCGCGCGTCAGCCTGCTGCACTTTTAGAGCCACCCATCTGGTATGCACCTGCCATCATGTGCCCGTCTTTCAAAAAGCTTCTAAACCTGCTCATGTGAGGTGATCATGTCATGAATTGGGTCAAGATGATGCGGACATAAAAGTCCCGCCCAAGCAGCGATCAATCGACCAAAGCGACCGGCCAAGCGCCACGAAGCGCATTGACGAGCCACAGCCTGCCTCCCTTATCAAGCTCGCGACGCAATTCTTGGATGCTAATGTCGCGCTCTTGCACCAAGCCCCGCCTGACCAGCTCTTGTCTTGCCAAGCCTGGCAAAAGAGGCCGTTTGGAGTGGGGCGTAACGAAGCGCACCTCGCTTGAATCTCGTAGTGTAGGAGAAAGCTCCAAGACGATGTTCGCAATGCTGCTTTCGGTGAGGTAGCGCTGCGACTCTGCCTCGCCCTCTTGCTGCCACAGCAATACATCGAAGCAAGTGCCGGCAGGTTTTCCAGCAGGCAAAAGCGTCGCTCCGACATGCTCCCTCGCCTCGTCGTACACCTTGCGAGCCATCGTCTTGTGTCGCATGAGCACTTGCGCCTCCCTTGATAGGCTCGATGCCACGCCGACCGTGTCGAGGCGCACCGAAACTGCAGCGTCGACGGCTGGCGTGGGAGATAGCGCAAAGTGTTCCACCTCGACGTGACCGCAGCGATCCATAGCGACTCTGACCCTCTTGGCCTCACTGATCGCTCCCAAGACGCCGTCTAGCTTTGCTAGCAACACACTCTGCTCCATAGCAGCCTTGACGGGCTCCAAAGATGGGTCAGGCCAGACGTCTGGTGCGACCTGGTGCAGCGCTTCAAAGCCGTCGTGCAGTCGTTGCAGGTGTGCAGCGAGAAAAGGAATGCGCTGATGCAGGCGATGCGCTGCGATGGTCGCTGGCACAGAAGCGTCTGCTCGCGACTGCGCAAGCAGGGAGCTGAAGGGCTCCGGAAAGTGATCTTGCAGCCTACCAGACGATATGCCCTCCTGATCGGCATTCAGGCGCAACGTGGTAAAGATTTGGCGCGGGATGCTCGTCGAGCGCGCAGCATCTGTTGCAGCCTGGCCGCCCTTGTGTCGCCAAGCAGCCTTGTTGGCATCTCGGATGCGCAGCGACATCGACCTGAAGTGCGGCATGTAGCGCATGAGCTGCCGTCGCTAGAATCGTCGCGCTTGTGCCGCACCAGACTCACCAAGTTCCGAATGCGAGCTTGAGGCATGCGATCGAGTTGGAGCTCATCAGTCGGCGCCACAAATGCACACACACACACACACAGCGCAGCGTCTGTACCCACTCACTAGAAAGAATGCGATCCAGACGAGCTGACCATCGAGGAATTGTGGATGGGTGATGGACCAAGCGAATAGGCTCGTGCTCGAGATGGGCCCAACAGCTCTGCTCAGACTACCCAAGCTCTGACCCAGCCCATTGACTCGACCCAGGCTCGCCCTGTTTGGTGCGACGTTGTTGATGCACAGCGTACCGCTCACGATAGAGATGCCACCAATGGATTTGAAGACCAGCATGGCTCCCAGCACGGTCCACACCTCTGCCCTGCCGAGCCTCGCCGCCACATGTGCGAGCGGGAAAAAGAGAAAAGTGCTGGCCATGAAGGGCAAGCTGCGCTTGAGGACGTGCTGCGGTCCGCCGAGACGCTTCTCGAGAAAGGGAAAGAGGAAGAGCTGGATGAAGATGGCCAAGACGCCGTTGGCAGCCAAAATGGTACCGACGTCCTGTTTGGTGAAGTCCAAGCCTCCCTTTTCGATCGGTGTGAAGCAAAAGAGCGGCAAAGCGGACATGTATGCGACGTTGATGAGGTTGATGAGTGCTTGGTTGAACAGGACGGTGAGAATCTTGGGCTTGAAGATTTCCTTGAATGCCGCCGGCTTCTCCTCATCGGTGATGGGGGATGTAGCGGCAGGCTGAGTGTGCGAGACCCGTTCGTCGCTGTTCTGCAGCAGCGGACGACGCTCAGCATGGAACTCACTCTCCAAAGCGCGAGGTGACAGCTTTGAGGAAGCTCTGCTGAGCGAAGCACGGACCAGATCGGGCTCTGACAAGCGGTGGGATAGCCTCGGCGTTGCTTGCCCAGACTCCTGCAGGCGGCGCGGTGTCTGAGATGCGCTGGCCGCGTTGGAAGGGGAGGAGAGGGATGCGGAGGCGGAGGCGGCGTCTGCGCTTCTCTTTGCAGCGGCAGCCTTGACCTTGGAGGGCAGCGTCTGGCAAAGAGAAGAGCAAAAAGTCAGCAGGGCGAGGGCCAGGGCGAGGGCGAGGGCGAGGGCGAGGGCGAGGGGGCAATGATGGACAGCAAGCGCAAGCGCACCCGCACCCGCACCCGCACCCGCACCCGCACCCGCACCCGCAAGCGCACCGCAAATGCTCACCTCTTGGAGAAATAGAAAGCCGACGAGGAGACCGAACAGGTTGAGCAGACCAGCGACGCCGCACGGCAACCAGTAGGGATAGCTTTTGAGAAATTGACTACGACCAAACCAATGGGGAAAGGTGTTTGCGGGATCGCTGAGCGTGCCGCCGATGGCAGGACCGATGATGCTGCCAATGGCGAACATGAGGGGCAAAAAGGTAAAGGCTCTAGCTTGATTGCTATCGTCTGTCAATTCACCCAGCACGCTCTTGATGACGGCGATGTTGCCGTTCATGAGACCATTGATGGCGCGCGCCAGGATCATGGCGGGGAAGGATTTGGCCAGACCGAAAGCATTGACGCTTACAAAAGTGCCTGCCAGACCGATCAGCAGCACCGGTTTGCGACCGATGCGATCCGACAGCGAACCCCACACCATGCCGGTCAGGAATTGCACCACTGCGAACAGCGATTCCACCAATCCAGCATAGTCTGTCAGAGCGGGGGGGGTGGGGGTGGTGATGCGGTGCGGTGGGATGCGTTGCGTTGCGTTGCGTTCAGCCTGGCTGGAGTCAGACAAGGGCATGCGCTCCCACTCCCACTCCCACTGCCACTCCCAGACTCACAGCCAATCTGGTCTTTTGGCACGTCTGGCAGGTTATCGTGCAGCATGTAGGGGATGAATGGGAAGATGCACTGCAGGGCGGCACGGCGGGTGAGCGGGTAAGGGCGTCAGTGGCGGTGTGTGTTGCGCTGCTGCGGCGTGCGTGCGTGCGTGCGTGCGTGCGTGCGTGCGTG